TTTGCACTACAAGTACTTGATTTGGGGTATGAAAAATCTTTCAAAGAGTATCTTTGACTCCTATTAGGTATAGTACTCCCAAAAACCACAAAAATATAATTTAAAAAGTTATTTTGCTATTTTATTTAAAGGCTTTTTCTTTAGGACAGAAATGGTCTTTAATAGGTTAAAATTATTTTAATGCTTTAAAAATATTTGGGAATATTTAGGGAAACTTAGTGGACATATATTGTCCATATATAAGAGTTTCAACATGTGGTCATGTTCAAAATATTGGTCAAACCCGTCCAAAAAACCTTTCTGAATATTTCAAGCTTTTGAAATATTTACAAAGGAAATATTCTCTAAAAATTCCAAGAAACTTCTAGTATGTCACATGTGACATACTTGATGATCTTGTCAAGTATCATGTCTTGGAAAACAAGATAACACTACCAAAACCCTTCAGAACCATTTATGTCCATTTTGAAGTTTGAACAACTTTGCGTTGCCAAACGTGTCCAAATGATCTCAAACTTGGTGCACATGCTCAAATAGTCTAACTATTCATCTAGACCAAATGGCACAAGTTTTTGATCAAGATAAATTGATCAAAGTACCCCAAAACCCTCTCTGACCAGATCCAAGTTTGAACAACTCTAGATTGCCAACTTTCTCCTTTTGGTATCAATTTTTGTGGACATGTTCAAATCCTCAAATGATGACACTACACCAAGTGGTGCATCAAGGAGAAAAGATTTGCATGACTAAAATTTGGAAAATCCATTTCTGTTGATTTCTAGGGTTTGCTAAAGTTAAACAAGCAACTTTCTCCAAATGGACTCAAACTTGGTGATAAACCTCAATTCTATATACCATTTGATCTTGTTGATTCTCATGCCAAGAGGAATTCATCTTATAGCCCAAACCAACATCAAAAACCTTATGCCATTTTACCAAAACCCCTGTTTTGACCCATCCACTCTTTTCCTTGAGCTCAAATTTTTACCAGGGCTTCTCCTAACAGTCACCTATCTCCAGTACCTCTCACTCCTCCATAGCTCAATGATTGCGGGGTAAAAACCCTAATTTTCACCTCTGGTTAGCACTGTTTCTCCTCCCCCTCAACCCTCTTCTCTCACCAGGGCCACTCCAGGGCATCCAATGCCCCTTCCCACTTGTTTACTTCTCCCTAGCGCTACCAGACACGAGTGGGCACGCCCCTGCCCCTTAAACAATGCCATGACAGCCAAAGGCACGCTCTAGAGCGTGCTACAGTGCGCCCTTGCACTATAGCGCCCCCCTGCCCGACGCCCCCAGCCACCTTGGGCCTCCCAGCATGTCCCCCAAGACCGCCTCGCCGTCCGCGATACGGCATCTGGTCGGCCCCATCCTCCATCTCTCTCCCCTGGCTGCCCCGCACGTGAATCAAGCGCCGCCCAACTCCGCCACTCTCTGCTCGAGCACGAGCCCCGCCCTGAGCTCGCCCCGCTCCCCCTATCTCCTCCCAGCGCCCAACACCACCCCCACGAGCGCTGCAGATAGCCCCAAGCCTCCTCCCGTGGCCATCCTGGCCATTTACGCGGGCGCCCGTAGGCCGCGTCCACGGTGAGACGTGGCCTCGCCATATAATGCCGCCCGAGGCCTCTCTCTAGAGCCCCTTCACCCTCTCTCCGTCCCGTACGTCGCCAAGACCCGACCATCCCTCTCCCCGTGCCCTCCATCCACCATAATGGCCGGAGCGTCGCCGTCGGGCTCCGCCTAAATTCGAGCTAACCCAAACTCTCTTTCACCCCCTAGCCACTACAACGCCCTCATACCTCCACCGCAAGGCCCTCCATCGCCTTTGTTCGCCCCCGGGAAGGCCAGGCGCTCATGGCCAAAGATCGCTGACAGCCTCCTCCGCCACCATCCAAGTCGTCGCCACTACGGCCCTCCTTGGCATGCGTGAAGCACCTAGACGGATGCGGCGCAGCCTCCTGAGCACGATGGTGGGCGGAGCGTCATGGGAGATGCTCTGTAGCCCCAGCAATCGCCGATGGGAGCCGCTCCTCCCCTTGGCTGGGGCGCGCGTGGGAGGTTGAAGGCGACCTGCCGCTGGCCCCCACGCGTCGGCGACCCAGTGGGCGGCCCCCGCCCGTTTAAGTGGAAACGGCTCCGGCCAGATACGCTTTCCCCGCAAGAAGGCGCCCAACCGGAAGCCGCCTTTGACATCACCTCCTCTGCCGCGCAGCCGAGCCGCTGGGCCGGCCCAGTGCGCTGCGGTGCTAAACTGCGCCCTGTGCACAGTTTAGGTATAACCCAAATATTCTTCTTTTTCTTTTCTAGTGAACTTCAAAAATCCATAAACAATTCAAATAGTGTTCAAATTTGATGATTCAAATTTTCAGAGACTCCATAAATCAATTTCAGCCATAGTGAACATTTTTATTTTACCTAGTTTCCACTTGAGCTAATAAGTAGGTCATTTATACCCCTAAATCAGCTTCCAAAATTCATAGAATATTCATTTGGACTCCAAATTCAGTGAAACCAATTTCTAATTGTTTCTAAAATCATGCCTGATTTAATAGGTACTTTTACTCATTTTTTTAATAAGGCATTCTGTAGACAACTTGCATATCCATTAAATCCCTTATATCCTTCATATTGAAATGTTCCAAGATATCCACCTATCCAATTCCATTGGAATCACTTTGGTCATTCCTCATATGACCAAAGGTATCCTAGAAAAGTCCAACTCCTATTTTTAGAGCACTTTTATTTTTGCCTTGTTGTGTTGCTTATTGTGATTGTTTCCGATGGTATTTGACGAAGTAGACGGAGTACTTGGGGAAGGACCGGAAGACTTGAAGACTCGGATGAACCAGGCAAGCAACCCTTTGACCATAATGCACCTCTCCTGTTCATCGATAAGAGTTTTCCGTATGCATGATGATGTTGTTGATTATGAACTTGATATGATCATTACATGGATGCATGACCATTGATACTTGCATCTTCATATCTCTACCATGTGCTAGAGATGCGATGAAAACACTTGGCAATGATGCATGATGTTGCATGTATGCCATGATCCCCTCGAGGTTGCATTCTTTCGAAAACCCCACCTGGTGCCCCTAATGCCGTGGGTGATGTTGAATTAGGTCACCACTTGAGGAAGAAGTGGTGTACCAAAGCAAGCATTTGTGTGTGTAAAATGCTGGATTAGACTTAAAGTATGATTACCGTCCCAACCAAACATGTGCAACCACTCTACCCCATGTGGGACGAGGCATTGTTAACTACCTAGTCTGATACTAGCATGGTGCCCACTTTACTAGTGACGAGGGTGACATGAGGTCACTTTCGGGATGGGGTCGTGCTTGGATAGGCGGCCATGTCTGTTTTCACAGGGCACCAGACACACCGTTGGTCCCTGCGTGTATGTCTGATAATGAAAAGGGTAGAGGCCCAAAATCTTGATGCTTATACACAAAGGTCGTGTACCAACGAGTGGACCCTATGTTAGTATCCCATAGGGAAAGATAGTGATCGGGTGCTTCCCCTGAGTACTTGAGGTACTGCGGGATCGTGGGTGACACGAAAGCTTTCCGGTTCTTGTGGGTAAAGTGCACAACCTCTGCAGAGTGTCAAACTATTCGAATAGCCGTGTCCGGGGTCAAGGACAGTTAGGTGGTGCTACTTAAACTATGTCCAGAACTTTACAAACTTGGTATATGTAAGTTGCATGGGTCAAGTAAAGACTTGACATGATGATAAAGCTAGAGTTGTTCTAAATTCTATTTATGTTGATATCTGTAACCTGTTCACGTGGTTACCAGAGTCCATTGTTGCTTGTTTCACAAGTTGAAAAGACATGTTGTTAAGTTTCCAACTAGCACAGTACTAGGTTGCCTACTTGTTGTTACTTCATGCATTGTTACCTTGATCCAAAACATGGGTTGCTTGCGAGTACATTCAAAGTACTCATTGGCTTCCACTGGTTATTTAATTGGCTAGGCATGGAAGAGTAGGAGTTCGAGGAAGAGTTCTTTGGTGACGAACATGCGAATTAGACGCTTCCCAATCAGAATGCATGTAGGGTTAAGGCAGATGGCATGGGTTCTACTTATCGACGAAGATTTCCGCTGCTTATGTTTCATTTGATGTTCAACCCTTAGGGCTTTATCAATGTAAGATTTGACCATAATGGTCATAATTTGTGTAAGACGGTATGTATGGATGAAGACTCTTATTATTCAGCTTCTGTGTGTTCAGTGAGCATTGATCTCTGAGATCACTTTACACGTGCATTCGGTGATCTCGACTTATGAGTCGGGGTCCCCACACGGTTCTTCCTCCCAACGCTCCTTTGGATACAACACCGAGGCGAGCCGCGCCCTCTGCCTCCTGATAAGTCCTCGTAACCCCCCTCCCCACTCCCCAACCACTATCCAACGCATGCAAAAATCAAGCAAGCTCAAAGGCCTTGTATAATGCAAGGTGCTGGGGGGAGGGGCTTCAAAAAGCAAACATCATTCCTCTAAGCACCGATGCTTATTTGCAGAGGTAAACGCTTAACAGAGAAAAATATTACTCATTTCCACATTATCTAATCTTTCCTGCCGCCCGCTACAGTACTTGGGTTACCACAGACGTTTGACTCCGTGGAGACCTTGGGGTTGGACTGCCAGAAACACACACGAAACAGGCCCGAGGCCCACCGCAAGTCCGCAACCCCCGGCGGGATCGATTTCCCCTTCAACCTACCAACCCGACCCAACCCAGCCGCGGCCGGCCGAGCAGACCCATCCCCTCCCTCCCCGCTTCCTCCTCCCCTCCACCTCCACCCACACCACCACCGCCTCCTCCCTCCCCATAACTATCCCAGCCCACTCGCTGTCACTGGGAGCAGATCGATCCGGGAGGCCGGCTCAGATTGGCGTTCTTCAATCTCGCTCTACCGCCGCCTCGCTGCGCTCCAATCCGTGCCGCCGCCGCGTTTCTTGGTTCGGCGGCTGCTTGGCTGGGACGGGGGGATGAAGGGGCTGGGCGGCGGGCCGAAGGTGCTGCTGGTGCACTCCTCGTCCAACAAGCCGTCCGGCGGCGGGTCGGGGTCGCCGTGGATGGGGCGGCGCCGGCTGTGGCTCGTCGTCTTCCTGGCCTGCTTCGCGTGCGTGTCCCTGGCCTCGCTGCTCTCCGCGGCGCGCGACGCGTCCTCGGCCGTCGGCGGCAGGCGGAGGGCCACGGGGTCGTCGTCCGCTGCGGGGGCCAGGCTCGCGGTGTCGGCGGGGGCGCGGAGGGCCGCCGCGGCGAAGGGGGAGGAGGCGGCGGGGCCGGGGCTGCCGGGGTACGTGTTCGACGCGCTGGTGCAGTACGCGGCGGTGGGGGGCAACACGTCCGGGAGCATGCCGGCGGCGGACGTGCGCGCCATCGCGGCGGCGCTGAAGCGGCGGTCCCCGTGCAACCTGCTGGTGTTCGGGCTGGGCGGGGAGACGCCGCTGTGGCGCGCGCTCAACCACGGCGGGCGCACCGTGTTCCTGGACGAGAACCAGTGGTACGTGTCCCACCTGGAGGGGCGGCACCCGGGGCTGGAGGCCTACGACGTGGCCTACACCACCACGGTCCGCGAGTTCCCGGACCTCCTCGAGGCCGCGCGCGCCGCCCGCGCCGCCGAGTGCCGCCCCGTCCAGAACCTGCTCTTCTCCGACTGCCGCCTCGCCATCAACGACCTCCCCAACCAGCTCTACGACGTCGCCTGGGACGTCATCCTCGTCGACGGCCCGCGCGGGTAGGGCTCTCGCCTTGCCCAAGATCCAAATTTTGTTTTCGTTTTGGGGGGAATCAGATTTCTCGCTCGAGCGGAGGAAGCAGGTCCCTGAATCTCGCTCGGTTTTGAATGACGATGGCCGCCGTCTTGTTCAGGTACACGGCGTCGTCGCCGGGGCGGATGTCGGCGATATTCACGGCGGGCGTGCTGGCGCGGGCGCGGAAGGAGGAGGGCGCGGCGACGGACGTGCTGGTGCACGACTACGAGCGGGAGGTGGAGCGGGCGTGCTCCAGGGAGTTCCTGTGCGAGGAGAACCGCGTGCCGGCGTCCAGCACGCGGTCGCTCGCCCACTTCGTCATCCGCGGCGGCAGCGCCGTCCGCCGGGATGCCTTCTGCGGCCGCGCCGCCGCCACCGACACCGCCGCGCAGTAGATTAGGGATTTCTTTTTCTTTTTCACTTCGGTAACTTACCCCTTCTCTCTCTCCTAGTAGTATCTTTTTTACCGTCGTCTGATAGCCAATTATGATGTCGGCATGTGGTGAAAAAAGGGCGCAAGCGAAAGCTCGACCAAGCTGTAAAAATCAGTGAGAGGAATGAACTGTTGTGCTCACAGCTCACGCCATGGCGTCCGTTGCTTCTTTTCTTACTTTATTTTGTTTATTATTATTATTTCGCGTCGTCGATTTTTCACGTCGCCTGTGCACACGACAAGAACCAGAACGGCAAAGAAGAAGTGAAAAGAAAACTCACAGAAGGATGAACACCGAAGAGCACGACTGTATATTTTTTTCCCAAGATATGATGGGCAGTGGTGTGTTGGATTGCATTGCATTGATGGCATGGTGGCCTAGTCTAGTCGGCAGCACGGAGAAGGGAGGAGACGGAGATGGAGGTTGGAGTGGCGACCGGCGGACGCCGGTGGCATGGTGCTGCCATTACTGATGCAGCACGGCCGTCGGTCCCGTCGTCGACATGGTCGTGACTCGTGACGGGGAGCCAACTGCTGACGCGGACTGTGTACGGGAGGAGCTGCCGGCCCGTGGGGGCAGGGCAGGGCAGGTGTGTCACGCGGGCGGATGGTGATCGGCCGGCAGCCGTGCAGCGTTGGCACGCACGGCGGCAGTGGGCGTATTGGCTGGCTGGCTGGCACCACGGCTAGAGAGAGATATACTACCGGGCCTGCATCGCCTGAAATCGCTGTGGTTTTCTGCCCGCTTCGGTCGGAGCTGATGGACGGAGATGCCAAACATGCGGTGGCATTCACTATTCCGGGTGGTTTTCACCTCACGGGTGCTCAAGCGTTTCGTTAAAGCACACAAGCCAAACGCGCACACCATGTTCTGGCACACAGGGTGTTGTGGTGCACCCGATCTTGGGTTCACATGCTGTGAATCTTCAGAAAATTCCAAGCACACAATCTTCAGATAACGGCCCCAGTTCACAGCCCGGTTTAGACTAACCATTGTTTCTCCTGCTGTGCTTAGAGTTTCAATTGGACATCTGCAGCATTATACAGTACTAGCTATGTACTGTGTCTACGTGCCGATTGCTTTATTCCTGAAGCATATGTGCGCCTTTTTACATTACAAAAAACACAAGTACGCATCACCTGAACACGCTAGAAAACCGGCCGCCAGAAAAAAAGGACATTGGACGCCATTGCTCGTTCAGGAGAGCACATGAGCGAAGCGGCGGCGAACGTCTGGAACAGGGTACGAAATGGCTGAAGAAAAAAGGCCACGTTCCCGCCAAACCACCGGGTGCGATCTGGCTAACCGCTGTCCTCTTCTTCAGTTTGGGAAACCTGAACTTGCTCGGCCGGACGCATTAACGCACGCATGGGAGGATCGTTGGATGCTGCTGGGAATGTTCTGGTGCACCGGGGCAATTTGTGCTACCGGTGCACCGGTCGCCCGTTGCACGTAAAAAAATGTTCGAAAAAATCCGGAAAAAAATCTAGTGCATTGACACGACATTAATGTACGTTGTCACAAAAATTTAACTCAACATTTAAAACATTGTTCGAGATATAAAAATAACAAATTTGACACTGAATAGTACATAACACAAGTTGAGCTTCATTTTTGGCCCATTAGCACATTGAGACCAAATTTGTCATTTTTGTATCTTCAGCATTGTTTTGAATTTTGATTTAAATTTTTGCGACAACATACATTGATGCTGTGTCGATACACTAAATTTTTTACGAATTTTTTTGAATATTTTTAAATGTGTAATAGGGTCCGGTGCACCGGTAGCACCAATTGCCTTGGTGCACCAGATACGTTCCCGGATGCTGCTGGTCTCGTCCGTTGTGGTGAATCTGTTCGGCGGTCCAGCAGCGCACGTCGGATCGGATGCTGTACCGTCGGTGCCATCTCACTGTCAGCCCGCCTGGGGAACGTCCAGGTCACGCGGGAATCGCACGCCATGTAACCTCACCGATATAAAATGTCTCATCGGCAAAGCACGAACAACAAAGAAGGTTTGGCGTTTCCAATTGTAAATTCGTGGCACCAACGATGCATGACATGCAACCACGCAGCGGAAACTTCCTTTTTCTGACTGACCAGCAAGGTTCGGCAGTCGGCATCCTGAGCTGAAATGATATGATATGGTATGAGCCGCTCCTTTGTATGATACGTGTAACGTGATCGGTTGTGTATCAGTGTATGTATGCAAGCATGTTTGGTTCATGTGACTCCCGCAAAAAAACAAAAAAATGTTTGGTTCACGTCGTAGTATGCGTTACCAAGCTTTGCCAACCATTCGCTGGCCAAACATTTGTTGGCATAAAAATTAGGTAACATTTGGCAGGGTAAATTTGTCCACTAAGCAACACATACCCTAATCCTTTCGCATGTACGTACGTGCAGAGAGTCCGCGCTTGATGTCTACTCATTTGTCTTACTAATCCCTGTACTTGATTTATAAACTACCCCAGGTCTACTCATTTGTTTTACTAATCCAGAGAATCTATTCGGTATAATATTAATTATCCCATTTATAACCAATAGAAAAATCCTTTTTCAAGAAATAATCAATTCAACGAGAGAGCGGCTAAATGGCTCCCAACTCATCCTGCTCATGAGCATGAATAGTAAAATCAAAAGAAATACTAGAAACATTCAATTTCTTTTACATGAAAGATGTTTTTGTGCGTGAAGTCCGTGCCAAATTTCAGCTTATTTGGACATCTGAGCAGCTCTTGGAAAAAAGGATCTGTGAATTCTTTTACTGTTCGGGACTGATTTTTTTATTTTGGTGAGAGCTATTCAGATTTCTAAATGCACTGAAATTTGACATGGACCCCACATACTAAATTATCTTCCATGAAACAAAAATCAAAGATTTTTGAATTTATTTAGTATTTTTTATTTTACCGCTCACCGAGATCAGATGAGTTCGGAAGGCGAAATGTATATTTGATTCATCGATGTCTCTTTTGGTGTGGGAGGCCGTCAACTGGTCCAGTGTGCTGACTCAGGTGAATATATAGTATTCGCAACATGTCGGTGTCAAAACCGGCAGATCTCGGGTAGGGGGCCCCAAACTGTGCGTCTGAAGATCTATGGTAATAATGGAGAAGGGACACATTATTTACCCAGGTTCGGGCCCTCTTAATGGAGGTAAAACCCTACCCCTGCTTGATTATATTTGAGGGTATAGGGGTTACAAGAATTGATCTACCTCGAGATCTGTTTGGCTAACCCTAGATAGCTAGCCTAGCAATGTTGTGATCCTGCCTTTGATCTAACCCTTCGGTTTATATAGACACCGGAGGGGTTTAGGGTTGTACAAAGTCAGTTTTACAGAAAGGAATAAAATATCCGGACACCTATACTTGCCATCCACGCATGTGAGAGTCCCCACCAGACACGAGAGATAATCTTCTGTCTTTGTATCTTGACGGCCCATCAGTTCGGCCCACATCAATATAGTGGACGCCTGAGGACCAGTGGCGGATGTAGAGGGTGGACAGGGTGGGCCATGGCCCACCCTGAGATTGGATAATGGGATTTATACCATAGGAAAAAAAGCTAAAAAATAAAATAAAATAAAATAAAATTATATGTACAATTGCACTGTTGGCCCACCCTGACCTAGTGGGCTAGGTCCGCCACTGCCGAGGACCCCCTAGTCCAGGACTCCCATAATAGCTCTTGAACCTGCCTTCAATGATGATATATTCAGCGCTTAGATTGTCTTCGGCATTGCAAGGCGGGTTCCTTAAAGAATACACATCGGCTTTCCTCTGTAAAAGAATTGTATCTGGCTTTTCATAATAAATACAACCCTTAGCCGCGAAGGCAGGATATATAAAAAATAAGAATAGTGCCTTTTACTGACAACTTTTTTGATAGAAACGTCAGACTTGACCTTTCGGCATTTCGAACCGTTTTTACACCCCGCATTCCGTGATTCGAGGCCACGCCTCATTGGCACGCCCTGTCAAAACAGAGATCGTGCCCACTTAATACAAGATTGCATATCAATGATATTTGGGTAATCCAACCGACTGCGACGCATACCCACATTGGGAATAGGCGAGATTCAAGGCACGAGTGGGGGGCGGTTGGTATTTTCACTGCCTATAAGAGGGCAAGCTACCCCCACTTTCCTTCCCACGCCTTCACATCTCCGCAGCCTTCCAATCTCCCAAGCACTCTGCGCTCGCAAAGTCTCCGTCTTTCTCACCACCACCACCACCTACTCCGACCATGGCCGGAGCTGGCTCCAAAGGCAAGTGGGAGGCCTCCTCCGTGACGGAGGAGAACATAGCAGATCTCTGGAGTGCGGGATACCTCGCCGCCGATATCAAGCACCAGCTTCCGTCTAAAGGTCAAGTCCTTCCCACTCCGAAGCTCGGCGAACGGGTTGTCTTCCTTCCCCATTTTCTTCGAGGGTTAGGTTTTCCACTCCACCCATTCGTCCACGGACTCATGTACTACTACGGGCTAGACTTCCATGATCTAGCCCCAAACTCATTCCTCCACATATCGGCGTTCATAGTCGTGTGTGAGGCTCTCCTCCGCGTCCGCCAACACTTCGGCTTATGGCTCAAGGTCTTCAAAATGAAGCCGAAGGTGGACGATGGGCAACACGCAGATTGTGGCGGAGCTATGATTAGCAAGCTACCGAACACCACTTGTCCAAAGGGGGCCTTCGTGGAGACCGTGAAGATCTGGCAACAAGAGTGGTTCTACATCACCGAGCCGCACCGCCCTAACTGGGCGGCCATTCTGGAGTTCAGATCCGGACCCCCCATGAGGCTCACCTCCTGGAATGAGAAGGGCCTCGACTGAGGTTCCCAGACGGAGGTGCTGGCGCTGCAGACGCGCATATCCAACATGCTGGGAAAGAACGTTGGTCTAACAACGTGGTTCAGATCATGCTTTTTCGCCACATCCTCTCCTGCCAGCGCCGGGCT